GATTCAGATGTCCGCAGAAACAAGAGCGAGCTTCAGAGAAACAGCGCTGTCAGACGCACGGCCAAACGGGCCTCGAGCCACGGCTTCAGCTGCTACATAAAACACAGACGCTGACGCCATGACTGTGACCATAAAGTCTAAAAACGGACAGCGGAAAGGCCGATCCGAAGCACCCACATGGACAGCCAGACACAAGTAGCTGGAATGTTTTAAGTGTATATAAAATCCTTCCAGTAAAAGACATCGCAAAACCACGACCGGAACTGTATCAGAAAGGGTTTGAAGTGAAGGGAAGCGCAGGGGAGGCCACTGTGTGAGAGCAGAGGGTAAGAGAGGAGAAAGTTCCTGATGAGGCAGATTAAAGTAAGATTAAAAAGTACATGGAGCTCCCAGCTGCATGAAAGGGGGGTAAGGGGGGGACCGACCCACATCTGCATCATGTGAAGCAGAAAACAAGTACTGTGTCTGCTCTAAGGTAGTGAGATAGGCTCGTCACTCAAGCAAAAATTCAATTATTATTAGCAAATCAGAAGGACTGTAGTTTTTCTAGTCCAACAACAAAATATCGTTCCTTTCCTCTACAGTTTAACAGTTCATAATTCTGTCTTCAATCAAATACAAAAGCAAAAATGGGATTCCTGTTTTAAAGGTTAATCTAAATGTTGTTTTGCCTCGATCTTTATCATTCATGCATGAGACCTTACTTGGCTATGTTACAACAACTTTATAACAGATAGGGCAAGGTAACTGTAAAATGCAATTTTTAGGCACTGAAATCATCCATTATTGAGGAATTTATGTGTGAAACCAAACTGAGCCATATTTCAAGCAAACAAGTGACATATCTATCACAGGAAGCAGGTCAACAGAGGACAGTTGAGAAATGCACCTCTAAAACTGACTTATGGGTTTGGATTTTAGGGCCGCAGCAGTTCGCGCTTGTGCTTAGCAGGAAAAAGGTCCTGGCTAGGTTCAATTCCCCTCCTTTCTGTGTGGAGTTTGCATGTTCTCCCTGTGTCTGCATAGGTTTTCCGCCGAGAGCTCTGGTTTCACCTACCACTAAAAACATGTACAATAGTCCCTCATACCCCACGCTGTCACTTGGGCCAGAGATTCTGAGATTCAGTGTGAATTTCCTGGTTAAAAAGGTTTAAAAAAAACAATAATAATCATAAAGGGTTCTCGCTTAAGATATACCAGGTTTAAAATGGTCGAAAACATCTTGGATTATTGTATGTTTGTGTGTCTTTATTTATATTGTCTACTTTTAAAACGTTTTATATGGACCTTTTTAAAGTCAAGTTGGAACTATATAATCTAGATTAATCAGCAAAAAGCAACACAATCTTGTAACAGACAACTATTTACCCACAACCTGTGCAGCAGTTTTAGTCTGAAATGATGCTGAGAATGCCACAAAATGGACATTCTGCAGAGAATCGACTTGCTATTTGCTCAAAGGGTGATATAAAATCAGCAGAGTCAGCCTGTTTTGAAAGATTGCTTTTTAGTGCACGTGTCACATATGAATGAGTGCGTCTATTGAGCCATGGGTATCGAGGTTAGAGGTTGCTTCTGCGCAGCCACACTAAATATTGACAACCATTCTAGTAATAATGTAACTGCCTTGATTTCACAAAGCTGCTCAGATTGCTTCCACATGCGTCAAAGTATATCTCGCCATGTCCTTTGTTTATCAAAAGAAACATAGCCCAAAATACTCTCTTTTGAATCAACAGCTGTGTCTATAATACATCATCTGTCAGTATTAATCCTGAAGTGAATGTGCACCGAGGCAGCACAGTGAGCTTGTGACACACTTCCAGGGAACATTAAACATTTTCTGCGGTAAAACTCAATTTGCTCTCATCCACTTCTCATGACTCTCAGATTTAAGTGAAAACTGGAGACTCCACCTTCGTCTCTAAACCTGTTTCTTTGATGTGTCCTGCTTTTCCCTCGACATGAGTCTGACCTCGGTCTACCTCTTCAAACGATCAGAAAAAGATGTATTATACAGCGCATGGATCCGAGGTTACAGATGATTTCATATAACTGATTCATTTGAAGAGAGTTTATGATTTCAGTCGTCTTTCCTGACCAATAGTTATTTCAAAGCCTGGAAAACACACTCAATTATTCAATTATAGGTCTGTTTTTATCCTTGTGATCATATTTGTTGGGTTAGGGTTACAATTTCTTAATCACTTCCTAATTTTTGATCAAAAGCAAAACAATTCTAAGAACCAATAAAGCAGAAATCCTTTGGCAGACAGAGACTGACGCACCCAGAGAAGTGAAAATGTATCACACAAAGTGAAGTCGCTATATTCAAAAGTAATTATCACCTAATTATCACCAGTGTGGGTGTAAAGCCGGGATACGCAACTTTTGTTTCTCATGAATGATCCATGTTTGTGCCAACAGAAAGAGACATGCTGTTTTCATTTACACTGAGTCTGATTGGCTGAGTGAGGACGGCCCTCTCCTTTTCTATCTGAATACATGATCAAAAACTTAGATCTACAAGCTTGTGAAAGAACTGAACTGTTTTAAGAGCGAGGAACTAGATACATGGCTTTCAATATATAGCTTTATTTTGTGATTGTATTTAAAATAGGGCTGGGCAATAAATCGAATTTAGGCAATTAATTGGCTTTTGAAAAAATCGAATTTGTGAAAAATGTGAAAAATTGTGAAATGAGGGATATTGTGAGAGTTCCAGCAGCACATGAATCAAACTTTCAATATCAACACAGTCCGTACAAGACTTTTACAATACGTATTGGGGGAAACAAATTAAAAATAGTTTTGAAACTTGAATATTGCACAGTTTTTCAAATGGGGATTTACTGCAAATCGCAAATAGATTCTTGAATACTTCCCATAATTAAAGTTTACAGTGTTCAAAACGCTATATTAAAAAAAATATTATTATTAATGAAAAGGGTATAGTGTCTAAAGCAGACTTGGTCATCTGCCCCATGCTAAACCAACAGCTCTATGTTATTTCATCATTGCATGTTCTGTGTTCGAAGTGTGTGATCCTCTGATACGTGTTGGCGAATCGACAACTTTGTAAAAATCCTCTGAGATAACCGCTGTTGTGATCTAGGCCTATACAAAAATAAACTGAATTTAATCTTCACGAGCCAGGATTTTCTGGCTTATAGGTGAACAACAACAACCGCCTAAAAACGCAGTCAGTGTGGGGTAAAAAGCCAGCAGTGCAAACACTTTGAAAGCACGTTGGCGTGTGACCTGCCGGGGTCAGGTGTCCGGCGACCAGCTGTCACCGTCACTGTTTGTCCGAGCACATGCCTTTCTCTCTGTGGCGTGTTTGCTGCGGTTCTTTGACCTACATACTGAATGCAACGATGAACTTACTCCAAGAAAAATCTGCGAATAACGCTCTCTCTGGTCAGTCTGTCTGCGGCCACTACAGAGCTGGGTGACAAAGCAGATCATGCGGCCTCATTAAGCCCCGAGAAACAATAAGCTGAGATTTTCACTGCTTTGAGCCGCCAGCCACCAGTCAGAAAGCCACGCCGCCGTCATCAAAGAGTGGGTGAAGAATGAGAGAAACTAGAGATGAAAGGACAGTGTATAATCTATAATGAGGGTCAAGTTACAACGGCTTTTTTCATAACGTCTAAAAAACTGACTGTTGAACCATTAGCTAATGCAATGTAGGGGAAAGGTTCTCAGACACAAAAATGACTTTCAAAAGGCTCATATGATCGAGCAAAACAGGGCAAAAAACCAAACAATGTTCTTGATTGGTTATTTGAGTATCGGCACAGTTGTGATTTAGTATCCTTATTAGCTACTGAAACAATTTGCCCCTGGTGGGATAAATAAAGTAGTCTGAATCTGAAACTAAGGTAAAAAATGGGAGTAGCAGCCTTTTCTCGTTATGCTCCTTCTAATTGGAACCATAATGACGTCAAATGTGCCCCCACACTGAGATCAATTCAGAGTAAACAGAAGAGTAGAATAAAGACTTGATTGGTCGTTGGTCTGAACACTTTAATTTTACAAGTCACTTCTGTTGGAACAAAGTTAGGTACCCCAGCTTTAGATTTCTTGTCATGATTAGTTTTGTTGAGCTGTCATCGTTCAGCACATTGAGTTGCGCTATTAAATGCGCTATAGAAATAAATTAAGGTGAGGTCATTTAAGGGCGCTCCCTTAGAGAAAGGGTCAGGAGCTCAGTCACACGGGAGGAGCTCGGAGTAGAGCTGCTGCTTCTCCACGTCGAGAGGAACCAGTTGAGGCGGCTCGGGCATCTGTTTGGGATGCCACCCTAACCCTAACCCTCCCTGGGTATGTGCTCTGGCCATGTCCCACCAGGAGGAGACCAGGGGAAGAGACCCAGGACACACTCCAGATGAGCTGGAGGAAGTGTGTGTGAATAAGGAAGAATCTCGGCTTAGACAACTGCCCCGCGACCCGGAAACGAATATAGCGGGAGAAATGGGATGGAGTGACCTTTCCTGTTATGGTGTGGATAATTGGTTATATTGTACTTTGGTTTTAATTTGAATCAGTTTAGTTTTACTTCCTGTCTCTTTCCCTTGTTGATTGGTCCCGCCCTCATGTGTTTAACCTGTGTCTATATGCACATGTGTCTCTCTGTGTCTATTTGTACCTGTGTCTCTTTCTCCATATGTACCTGTGCTCCTCTCCCCTTGTTGCTAGTCCATTGTCAATGTCGACGTTTTCCTGGTTCCTGTTTAATTTGAATTTTTGCATTCCTGCGTCTTGAGTCCTCCTTCACGTTCCCCTCCTTACATGCCACGCACCTGCTTCAAAATCTGCCAGTTCATAATCCTCCACAGTGTCTCACACATGGATATGGAACATTACCATTAAGAGCTCAGGACAGGCCAACACCACATGACGTCACAATCTCTTCATCACGAATGAAATCAATGGAAGTCGTTCTCCGGTGAGATGGAGAGAGTGACTATTTATGGAAAGAGTGACTTTAGACTTACCTCTGGAGTTCGTAGCCATGTCCGCCACCTTCTGAAACGCGTCGAGGAAGGCCACCGCTGCTAGTATCGTAGTCCTAAAAAATATATATATATATATTACATCTGTGCAATTTTGGGCGATTTTTTGAATTGTGTGATAGAGATTTTTTACCTAAGTTGGGAATGAAGTTTGGTCGCCTTGGCACTGAAGTCTTCCCATACTGGATACGAGCTCTGGGAAAATTAAATACACAAGAGAATGAAGTGATTTGAGACTTTCGGCAGCACCTGTAGCTCGACATAGCGTGGCTTTGTAACCTACGGGTGCACAGCAGACGCGCTTAATATTGTTTTGACTTGTCTTTAAAAAGGTCAGAGAGGAATGTTCACTTTGTCCTCAGTCAAACCCGGCTTTTTTGTGTTTTTTTCTCTCTCTGTGCAGTGTACTTAGCAGAGATAATGGGCAGCAGCATTAGCACACAATACTCTTACTACTGGAGCATTATGTTTTATAGTTTACCAATGGTGTAGTTATATTTATATTGTATGCTTATTGTGTGGGTTTGTGTGTGTGCGTGTGTGTGTGTGTGTGTGTGTGTGTGTATGCTAGGAGTGTCTTGACTGTGATTTAAATTGAATAAGATTAATGTTTATTGTGTGTTGTCCCTGATGTATATTCAGTTCAATTCAATTTAAAGGTGCACTGTGTAACTTTTCTGATGGGGTCTGCTACCTGCGTTGTTGCCATGGAGATGTTATCACTATGTATTTCAGTGTAAATGTATTTCATGTAAAAGTTTTACATGTGCTTTATTTATAGGTGTTTTATGTTATCATTATTATTAACCATTAGATCAAATGTAAATGTTTTTGGCCCTTCAGATGTACTTTTCTCCCAATCCCTAAGCTTTATTCTGCATTGCGTTTGTTAAAAAAATATAACTTTGACTTGATCGCTCTGACGTCTGAAGTGGTTTTCCTAAAATACTAATACTATCGTGCTGATTTCTCCAATGCGTTGAAGGCTACACGCAGCCTCAGAATCACCTGGATCACATTTACCTGGGATCAGTGTTGCCTGCAGCCATAGGATCAGAGGCCCCGCATAAAACACACAGCCTCCGTAATCCTATTAGAGGACAAGGTATACACTCCTGACCGGGACAGGAGGCTGTACCCTCAGTGTTGGAGGGGAGCCAGAAGATCCCACCAGCTTTAAGTCACCTTGAAATTGATTATTTTTTTCCACACATGCCAAAGTCTTCCCTCCCCTTGACTCTTGCAAATGCCTGGAAAGTTGTTAAAGCACGATCTCAGCTTATAAAAATGTTTGCTAAGATCCTCCCTCTCAGCGAGCCGCCTGCACTTGACTCAGGTGTCTAATTAGCTTGTGTGGCTTGTGACTCCCGAGGGTGACGAGGATGCACAGCCGAGACAGCTGAGACAGGGAGCAGCCCGGCCCACGAGACCCGAGCTCTATTGCTGTTGGAACCCCTCCATTATGCACAAAGCAGCAGCTACAACAACTGTGAGGAGTCGCGCCGGGTCAGAGGACAAAGGACGGTACTGTTTAAGACATCGGGGTTCAGGGGGAAGCGGACATGATGGTTGCTAGTAACTGATGCACTGATTCCTCTGGATTACATTACCATCATTAAAACTACAGTGAAGAGTAGTGTCTAGTATAGTATAGTATAGTCTAGTGTACTGGAGTAGAGTAGAAGAGAGTGTAGTATAGTATAGTACTGTTTGGCGTGGTATAGTATAATATAGTAGAGCATGGTATAGTATAGTTTAGAATGGTATAGTCTAGTCTAGTATAGCATGGTATAGTATATTTTGTCTGCATTGTCAACGTGGGACAGAATTCACATATGAAGGATTAAAGTGTTTCTTGTTTGAATAAGTGGCGCCTCCACCTTGAGCGTCCTCCTCTGCACCTCCCACTCTCTCCCTGACACCTCCTCTGTGTTACATAAGGAACAGGTGCATGTAATATCAGTCCTGTTACATTAGTCTACAGTGCACTGAACATTTGTGACAGCGTGCACTCGTACGGACACAATAGCACGGGTCCTGGGGGGGTCTGGCCCGACAGGCTGGCGTGGTCCGGCGTCAGGAATGAGGTCAGATGTCTGTCTCAGACAGTGGACATGGACACTGCTGACTAAGGGCTTTACACTCATCCATCAGCTCTGCTTATCAATACACTAAATACCTCTGCCTCCCTGACGAGCTCACACTGAACAATACAGTCCCAGCACAGTCAGCCGGGCTCCTATTCTACACTTATATACTGACAGTTCCATTTACACTCTGGGATTACTGGAATACAGAACACAGCTACTTGTATCTGATCACAAAAGGAGATCCCTGTAATGAGCAGCTCACACTTGATGAATACATTCACACTTTCCATCTGTTGAAGTGAACAACAGACCACCCTGGTTCAACTTCCTTGACGTGACCCCTCCCCCAGCACACACAAACATAATGTGTGACACATAATAGGGACACAACCTGCTATAGATAGGTCCTTGTAGCCTACTTTAAATATATAGGTTTCCAGCTTCCATCTTTAGCTCCTGTTGCTTCAGCTCAATCTGAGAGAAGGAGGAATTAATGCTGAACATCTGACATTTGACAATTTGTCCTGATGTTGCAGACATCACTGGCTACAAAATAAGAATTGAATATATCTAGCTGTATAATAAATATATAACAACAATATCAGGATCACGACATTCACTCCAGGTTTAAAAACATTTAAAAGTAGGTTATAGTTAGAGCTGTGCTTTTAATTGTGTAAAAACTGCAGGACCGTGTTCTCCTGGAAGTGTCCACTAACTACAATGTTACTGAGAGTTTCCAAATACAACTTGTTATTGAATCGAAATCAGTCCATGTCCGACCTGCTGCACATTATGCAAATAACACAAAGGAAACACGCTTCATCTGTGGATATGTCCTGAAGCAGTGCTTCTGTGGGGGAGGACCCGCTGGACCAAACAAAGGCAGTAAAATGATGAGTGTAGTGAGGACTCTTACAAGTAAGAGTCATTATAGAGTAATACACAATCAATAGTTCATTACCTTCATATCGTTAACGATGGCCTGGAATAATCCACCGAGAGCACCGCACTCTTTCTCCACCGACTCCATGGTGCAAACAGGACACAGACTTTAGATCCAGCTACTGGTGTTTGAGGAGCGCAGACATCAAGCTGCTTCTCCTTCGCTCTGCGCCCTCAGCCCGTCCGCGGGAGGATGACTTCAGCCTGCGGCCACAGCGGCTCAGACCCAGCGGCTCAGCGGCTCAGGGTCAGCGGCTCAAACAAAAAGAAGTGCGGAGTGACGGCTCAGAGCGTGAGGGAGCGCGCACCGGGACTCCACATCCCCCCCTCCTCCTGAGCGCTCTGTGACACACGGGACGGTCCGGGCTCAGGTCCAGGCTCAGGTCCAGGCTCAGGTCCAGGCTCAGGTCCGGGCTCAGAGTCTGTTGTGGGCAGCGCAGATAGAGCTACGGGCTGATGCGGGAGAAACTCGATCCATGGGAATGGCAGGCGGCTGTGGACGTGCTTTTCTCCTTTCTTTGCGCACACACAAACACATGGAGCTGAGGAGGAGGGGACACAGGAACACCCCACCCCTGACCCCTCCCACATGCGCTGAGAACAAAAGTGAGGCGCCTGGAGCTCATGACATGAGAAAAGGATTTCCTCTGTTTTAAAAGTGCATTTACCACACGCGTTGCTGTTTCAAGGCCATTAGCACAAATTACCTTTGTTTTCATGACTGCAGTGATGTCAACACCTTTGTTGACATCACTGCAGTGAGGGAGGGAGCAGGAGCCACCGGGAGCCACACGTGGAACAGCCACCAGGAAACCTGAGTGTGTTTATGTTCAACCCAATGCTCAAAGTATCTAAAACTATAAACGTAAGGTACGTTTTCTAATATGCAACTGTTTTGCTCATTCTAATTACATTTTATAATATTGTTTTCTTTATATAAATATATTTACTTCAGTAAATATAGCAACAGCGTAGTTCTAAATATATGTGTATGTAATTAAATCAATGTTGCCTGAAGTGGGAAGACGACAACAACCAACCCCAATACTTGACAGTGCATTTACCACGTCACGTGTGTGAGCCATATGTTAAGTACATCAACAGAACAGGGGTCATTCTGCAGTCCTGACAAACATCCTGTCAATTCATACTTGCACTTCTGCAATATACACACCCACACACACACATACACACACAGATACACACACAGATAGACACACAGATACACACAAACACACAGATACACACACAGATAGACACATAGATACACACAGATAGACACAGATTCACACACAGTGGAGGACAGAGCAGATACATGTTCTCATGCACAATATCATCTCAGCCCCTCTGGGCAGTTTCACAAGTTTCTGTGGATAGTGGATACAGTTTCTTTCTCTGTAATAAAGTCCATGGGTGACATGTGTTAACATGAGCATATAGCCAGCAGAAGAGTGGTTCCAGAATTATTCAATCCACAAAGACCTGTATATTCTTAATTGATACATAGATTTATTCATCTTCAGTGGAGAAATGCATGTGTCCAGCAGCAGAAAGTCATCCAGACAAACATTCTAAAAGTGCTAATGTTTTTCCCAGACATATTTATTGTACAGTCCTATAGCCGAAGGAACAAAGGAGCGAATATAAACGTTCCGAATATACACTTCACAATCTGTCTTTGAAAATATGATATGAATTCAGGCTTTTCCTTCCAGCGACATTAAAGCAATCTGAGTGACGATCTCGCTCTCTAAACAGATTGGTTCTATAGTTTTGATATGCATTACATTTTAGATCAGCTTTTCAGACAGAAAAGCCTGAAAATATCCATCCATCCATCTGCTTTAGACCTGCTTTAGACCTGCTTTAGACCTGCTTTAGACCTGCTTTAGACCTGCAAGTAATCGGTCATTAGCTCTGTGCATTCAAACGATTATTTATTTATCTTAGCTTTGAGCCTCTTATTACTACTGTGCACTTCTCGGAGTAATTTTGATTGTGTCCTTCTATAAAAAGAAACTGTCTTTAGCCAAAACTACCCAGACATTCTCAGACCAATACTCACAGGAAAAGCGCTAAGACAAAAACTACAACCCCCCATGTGGAAAAAGGTTTTATCCTCCAACGCCTCACCACTGACGCGTGTGTCTGCCAGACTTTCCTTAATTCAGCAATATGGGGTTAAGGAAAAATGTGACGGCTTGAATTTCAGAAAACTATCCCTGAGAAACGTTAACAACTGTAAGCAATAACCAGGCCTAAACATACCACGATGGGGGAGACTGTGGGAACTTATGAAACCGAATTCAGTGACTTTGGGCTAGTTTTTATTAAGCATTGTGCAATATTGTTTGTGCAGGATTTGAGCGCGGAAAAAACGAATTATTCAATCAGGAAATACAGGATGAAGGAACTAAGTTAATTATTTTGTAGGTCATTTCTGTAGTTTTAACACATGGAGAAGGAGTTGTATTTTAATTTGCTTTGGCGTCTTCCTGCTCCTTTTGAACATGAATAAGTATTTTGTATTTTTTTGCTTTAATTTGTTATTTTTCTGTTGTTTTTACTCCGTATTCAAACACATTTTAATTCTTTCATAGTTTGGCTTGAGAAAATAATTCATGAATAAAAGTCATTCCTGATTAAAACACAACAGATTTGTTTATTTGAGCCCAGAGCAATACACACAGTTGATACATAAATACATACATGTTCTATCAAGCTATAGTCATCAAAAAGAAGTCAGCAGATGTTTATAAATCACCATTGTTGGTATTAATTGTTGTTGCAATGTAAATTCCCTTGTTGCCCGCGGTAACGCCATCATAATAGAACACAGATCACATATAACGGTGAAGTCGATCGTTTAATCACTGAATGGATTAAAATACGTTTTTCTTCTTCCCGCTCCTTTTCAGGCAGAATTATACGACCACGTTTATACCGGACATTTATTGCTCGTACATTTTTTGTTTATACTGTTTTTTGTTTATTGTGTGTTTTTTTTGCATTATATGATTTATGTTACTGAACTGCATTTAATTACCTTGTTTACTCACCTGTGCCATTGCCTGAAATAAATGGATAAATGAAATGGAAAAAAATGAATGAAAATTGCATAATTACATTCAATGGTGGCTCAAAAGAATGATGATTTACTTTGCCCTCTCATGCCAGCTGGATTTCTGCTGCTTTATCACCCATAGTAAAGAACATTGGGTCAAGCTGTGGCACCCCACTCTCACTGCAGGTCAACAGGTCTGTCCCAATAGACACCATAAAACCAAGATTTATCATCCCGAATTTGTCTGTTACGCAAGCAAAACCGTGGAGTCTACAAGACGTTCTTTTACGGGTTCAACAAATGGTTCCGATTAATACTTTTGGTTTTATTGTCTGTATAGGAAATGAATAAACAGGCGCACTTGCATTAGGGAGTAATTTTCTAGAGTCCCTTCTACTAGAAATGTAGAGGCTTGTTTGAACTCCGGCTGAAGGATGTAGCCGCTCTTAATGGGCGCCTTTCAACCCACGGCTGGGAGTGGAGTCAGTAGTTTAGAGCGTGTGCCTTGTATTTTTAACAGGGAGTAAAAAGGCATTTAAACAGGGATCCTGGGGTTTTGCAAGGGCTTTGATGTTTAGTGGGGTAACTTCTAAGTGACAGAGAATTGACAGGAAACCCACTGGATGTGCATCGGACATGTCGTTTATGTTAAGCTTTGTTAGAGATTCATCAGCGGGAGGTTGTCATGATTCAAAGCTGAAGGAGGACACAGATGAAAGGCTGGAAATCAAAGTTGTAATTTAACTTAATTAGTGTGGTAAACAGTGACCTATGTACTGCACAGGTGGACAAATGCAAGACAAAATAGTATTAATGACCTGGCCTTGTGGAGGTCTCAAGGACCACAGAGACTTTCGTTGTTTAGGCTATTTAGTGCCGAAGGTTTGGCCTTTTTATGATGACGTAAATTTCTATATATAATGTATCTGTGTCTTTTGTTCTGTCTGAAATTAACGACCATTTTGTGAATAAACCAGCCAGGAGGCTTTGTGGTAAAAAAAGATCCCGTTTTGTCTGATTCCTATCATTAGACACAAGACAAAAAAGAAAGAAAAATACAAACATAAAAGGACTGGAGGACCACAGGAGTCAGGGATGAGGATAATGGGGAGGAGAAGAGCACAGGGTAACACGCCCAGAGCAGTCAATTTGACAGCTTTTAGTTTAGGAAGTGTAATTACTCAGCTTATTAACCTTTTTAGTCTTTCGAACTTTGTGACTTTTTCCGTCACTATATGTAGTTTAATTACCTTGAAATTGCCTTACTATTTTTCAAATATGAGCCATTTTCAGTTAAAGCCCTTTGGATTGGTTTTGGGCTGGTTCTGGTTCAGTTTGTTTATGCACCTGAGAACAGATTAAGAAAAATGGCACTGCTATAGTCACTTTTAATGTACATAATAAATCTTGCACAAAAGAGACTGGAGGACCACGGCGGCACGGTGGCTGAGTGGATAGCACTCTCGCCTCTCAGCAAGAAGGTCCTGGGTTCGAATCCCGGTCGGACCAGGGCCTTTCTGAGTGGAGTTTGCATGTTCTCCCCGTGTCTGCGTAGGTTTCCTCCGGGCACTCCGGTTTCCCCTACCACTAAAAATATGTCCAATAGTTCTGGCATGCGCCTCCTGTACTGGCGACCCCGCTCCCATCTCTGTGTGGAGTGAGAGACAAGTGCCCATAATTAACAATTGTAAACCGCTTTGAGACTCAGATCTGCAGTGAAAAGGCGGTATATAAATAAAGATTACTACTACTACTACTACTATTTGAACCTTTTAACATGTTTGTTTGCACATATCCTGTCTTTTTGCACACCCAGAGTGATTCCATCTATCTATGCCAAATGTGACATGCACATCTCTCCATGGTAAGATTGATAAAGTAAATTATCTTGATAAAATTAGAAGATGGTTTGCCATGTTTTAATTTTATTCCATATGTCTGTGAGAATATAGGGATTAAGTTTAAAAAAAAAAAAAACAATTAATGTATGTAGAAGCCCATACTAAAATCAAAAAGTTAATTTACTGCATACAATTCCTATGATACGTTCTATCCCTTAAATGAAGTAAAAATCTATACTCGTCAATAGGCCACAAACTGACAAAAGTATGTGAATAATGACACATTCAGCCTTGTTCCAAAGCTTCTAGTCCCTTTTTCCAGTTCAATTAAAAAGAGAAAGTGAGTGAAATGAAACCGTCTTTAAGCTCGGCAGATTAACGTGCAAATGAGAAGCTCCTTACAGCTGGCCGCCGCTTGTATCTCACTATGGGTCATTCAGGTTTCAGCGTTCCTTCTCTGTCTGTTCTCTTCAGCACCACGCTAATCCAGACACTCAACCAGTCACCACGTCGCAAATGCACTGGGAAGAGTTTATCCCAGGAGACAAAGTGTGGTGGGCCCTCAAACAGCCTGAATGCCGAATGTGTGAGATCATACTGTCGTACTGTGGGGCAAATAAGCAGAAATCTGGACATATTCTTAGTCTTGACAAGTTGCTATGTTGCTTAACCCAGTGGTTTGGCAC